GCCATCGAGGCAATTTAGAGTAATTGTGCTGTCCTGGTCTTGGGACCACTGAGTCAACCGGAACGCATTATCTGTGGCCACTGAGGCAATTTAGGATAATTGTGCTGTCCTGGTTCCCAGGTACAGAAGAATGTGCTTCGATAACCAGTATGACCACAACCAATGGGGTATTCACATTACAATCAATAGGGTATTCAATCGATTGGGATGATTTATATAATTCAGAAAATCAAAGTAACTTTTCTATTGTTAAACAAAGCAAATAAGTACAGAAGCCAAACAGCAGGGTTAAAGTTAAACTATAGTTTCTACCTGAGATGATTGCTACCATACTTCAAACCTTTCTACCTAAGAGCAGGCCGGGGCAGGTAGTCATGTTCTTAGACTGGTATTTCCCTAACAAAGGTCAGTCTTTCCCAACAAAGCCTGTCTACTGTCTTTTTGCATCTAGGAAGCGGTTCTCAACCTGTGGGTCGAATGACCCTTTCACAGGGGTCGCCTAAGACCATCAGAAAACACATATGTAATTACATATTGTTTTTGTGATTAATCACTATGCTTTAATTATGTTCAATTTGTAACAATGAAAATACATCCTGCATATCAGATATTTACATTATGATTCATAACAGTAGCAAAATTATAGTTATGAAGTAGCAACGAAAATAATTTTATGGTTGGGGGTCACCACAACATGAGGAACTGTATTAAAGAGTCGCAGCATTAGAAACGTTGAGAACCACTGCTCTAGGATAACATACCTTTGGAATGACAGGGTAATTTCCTCCCCTCAATCCCCCACTGCTCAAGGCACAACCACTGCACTAGAACAAACCACATACCCTCTCACTGTTATTATCATGTTAATTGTTGACTGTTAACTATGCTATATCCACAAATGTAAAAGAAGTATGTGTCTGTTTTACTTTTTATCCAATCTCAGAGACTTCTCTGCTTTGCCCTCTCCGCCTCCCTAATCTATCACCAATGTTTTTCATGTAACCCCTTTAGGTATTGCCCTTTGATTTTAATATATTAGATAAGTGGTAAAACTGCCATTTCCATTGAGATTTTGCTTTCCTGCAATTGTCATCAGTTTGGCTCAAATAAACTCAAAAAATTCTTACAAATTGGGACGTTTCTTACATTGATAAAATCTTTTAAAACTTTGCACCTTTGTGACTCAGCAGTTCCACTTCTAGAACTTCATCCTGAAGAAATAATCATCCAAGCACACACAGATATATGTTCAAAGTTTTAATAGTAAAAAGAAAACAACTCAAATGTCAACAGAATTGGTATTGAATATCCAAACAATGACATAATACTTCCATTAAAAATGTTGCTGAAATGCATCTATTGGCATGCATAGTCATGATGTGTTAATTTAAAATGCAAGCTGTCAAACAAAATTTGTATTTGCTCACTTTGCTTGTCTATTTTTTAATTGCTCTATAATGTGGATGTTTTAAATTTTAGAATAAGAAATAAATTTTATTTTCAAAGATGTAACAATCACATTTATAAAACTAAGAAAAAGTAAAAATTTTACTGGAGAAAATAAAAATGTATATTTATGACATATCCAACTTTTTTCTTGTGTGTAGACAGTTAGACATGAGCAGAGCAGGGACGACGGGCCAGGTACAGAAGGTCACCAGTGTGGAAAGCCCCGGGTACCTAGCAACAGGCAAAACTGGTAAAACAAGGACCTTGCCCCCAGGGGGTAACGTTTCTTTCAGTTTAGACCCCCTGACCTTTCCATATTGCAGATCATGCAATTCGGACCCTCCCCTGACCTTTCCTCCCCTGGCATGTCACTAGTTATGCCGTAGACTCCCTGGGAGGAGGAACAAGGATTGGAAGAGTGGCCCCATTTGACTCCCTGAAGGGCTCCAGCATGAAGGTAACATCTAGCGATAACATCTAGGCCTCACTTGTGTTTCAGCTCCAGGCCCAGAAAAGCAGCAAAACCAGACAAGCGATGCCATGGCTGACGTCTGGACCAGTTCATTGACTATGACCCCTGCCCTGGTACCGACCAATCAGCAGAAACCACAACCCTGAAAGGACACACCTGAAAAGCTGAGGACTATTTTATTGGGATCCTCCCCAGAGACCTCCAGATACATGCTCTCCCCTCCTCCTCTTCTTCGCCCCAGGTGTGTTACCTTTAACTTCCTCTTTGCCAAGCTCCAAGGGCCCTTCTTTTGCCTCTGTAACTTCTTTCCTAAGCCCACACACAGCTGGCTCACTTTTCCTACCTCTGTGACTTTTTTTTTTTCCAGATCTTCAAACCTGTCTACACTCTCCAAACTAGAATTATTATTCTCCTGCAAAAACCTGTTTTTGTTGATGTGGTTGTAATGGAATCTAATCCTTAAACATAGCTCATAACCCAGCAGAGTATTTCTTTTACTCAAAACTACAGATTACCCCAATCTTCATGATTGCTGAGAACATTATTTCTACATGTCATGAATATCTTTTATGTGCTGTATATAAACTATTTACCACTATATAAACAGAAATTTTCTTGTCTCTGCAAATTAATTCACAATATCTTGGTACATTTCCCATCAAGTGCATTTTGAGTTTCACATCCTCAAAGGTTAAAAATATTCACACACACACCACACACACACACACACACACACACACACACACACACACACATATTCACACAGGAAAAGGAAAAAGAATTATATAACTTGGATCCTTTCTCTGTTCTTTTAAACCCTGGAAAATGACGAAATAGATTCCAAAAGCTGTTCACCAGAGAATATGGCTTGGGTCCACTTGCTCTTGTTGCAGGCCTGGATAACAGAAAGTTGAGAGAAAAGTTAAAATTATTATTAAAACAGTGTCCCCAAATTTTAAAAAATCTAGCAGACCTTTTGAAAAGTATAAATAAAATACATAGTTTGAAATGATAGAAAACCAATTATGTTAAGAAGCCTTTAATTTTTAAACAAGAATGTGAATCAAATAAAAGAGAAAAATTGTCACAGTTAAATGATTAGAAATTTAGCAAAATAGCTAAAATTTTTTAAATAAACACTTTATCACCTAATAGAGTGAATAATTCTTAGGTTATTAAGTCAAGAGATGTATAAATTCAAATTAGAATGAGTATTGTATCAAATTTCAATAGTCAATTTCACAGATTATGATTCTCATTATAGTTATTTGCTGAAAAGCCAGTTCCTCCCCTCACTGTTATTGGTCTGTTTTAAAATAGTCCTCTTTTGCCCTAGCTGGTTTGGCTCAGTGGCTAGAGCATCAGCCTGCAGACTGAAGGGTCCCGGGTTTGATTCCTGTCAAGGGCACATGCCTGGGTTGTGGGCTCGATCCCCAGTAGGGGGTGTGCAGGAGGCAGCCCATCAATGAGTTCCTCTCATCATTGATGATACTATCTCTCTCTCCCTCTTCCTTCCTCTCTGAAATCAATAAAAATATATTTTAAAAAATAAAATAATCCTTTAAAAAATCTTATATGAATAACTCAAAATTCAGGAGGATGTGTGGGTATGTTAATAATTTGAAACATAATAAAAATAATGCTAATTTTGGGTGAACTATTACTACTACAAATTAGGGTGACAATACTTCATTTTCTGCCAAGAAGAACCCAAAGTATAGTTTTGACCACAAGCTCCACTGATCAACCAAAAGCAAAGTCTAGTAATTAAAACCTTCATTTTCCCCCTCAAGTATATGAAAAAAAATTATGATGAGGGCCAGAACTTTTAATATTTGCTAATTCTACACACATTTTATCTTTTAAAAATATATATACAGCCCTTGCCGGTTTGGCTGAGTGGATAGAGCATCAGCCTGTGGACTGAAGGGTCCCAGTTTCAATTCTGGTCAAGGGCACATGCCTGGGTCGCAGGCTCGATCCCCACTAGGGGTTATGGAGGAGGCAAGCAGATCCATGATTCTCTCTCATCGATGATGTTTCTCTCTCTCCCTTCCTCTCTCTGAAATCAATAAAAAAAACTGTCTAGTTTGCAAGACTTTACCCCAGATGCAAGCATGATTCTCTCTCATCGATGATGTTTCTCTCTCTCTCTCCCTTTATTGATTTCAGAGAGAGGAAGGGACAGAGAGAGAGAAACATCAATGATGAGAAAGAATAATTGATCGACCTCATCCTTCATGCCCCCTACTGGGGATCGAGCCTGCAACCTGGGCATGTGTCCCCTGACCGGGAATCGAACTATAATCTCCTGGTTCATAGATTGACGTTCAACCACTGAATCACGCCAGCCAGGCTCTACACATATTAAAGTTTAGAATAAATTTTCAGAAATTCAGCTAAGATTATTTAATAAGTTAAGGCTCACCTAACAAATTGTAATTAATTTTTGGTGAAGGTGGTGAAAGGTAGGTGATGAGTTCTGTCTTCCCCTGAGATAATTACATTGCTACATGGGACTAGAACCTGTAATCTACCTAGTTTTAAATATATTTTTGAAACCTAGTGTGGCCCTAGCCTGTTTTGCTCAGTGGATAGAGCATCAGCCTACAGACGAAAGGGTCCCGGGTTCGATTCTGGTCAAGGGCACTTACCTGGGTTGTAGGCTCCTCCCTGGCCCGGGCCCTGATCAGGGCTCCTGCAGGAGGCAACCAATCGATATATTTCTCTCACATCGATGTTTCTCTCTGTCTTTCCCTCTCTCTTCCACTCTCCCTAAAAATCAATGGAAAAATATCCTCGGGTGAGGATTGAAAAACAAACAAACAACCAAAAAAAGGACAAAAGAAACCTAGTGTGAAGAAAAGTTTTTTTTAAAGTACAAATACAGAGATAAACACACTGTAGAGAATCTAAGTATGTCTTAGTAACTGAATGCCATTTTTAAAGCAGTATCTTGGGATTTCTAACTTTTCTTAAAGATCCTAGAATGGGTGGCAACTAGAAAAATATCAAAATCTGATTAACAACAGAGGATTCTATGAGTTCAGTCTACCACCAATTAGCCTCCAAGTTATCTTGTTAGAATTCATTCCAGCCTCTGACTGTTATGAGCAAGTTATCGTAGGCCAATTGTTCCCTATTGTAAAACCAGGGACCTATATTTATCTTGTTCAAAACAGTTGTAAAACCTATGGCACAGATATAGCAAACTAATTATACCATTTTTTTTTTTTTAATCCTTGGAAGGGTGGGTAAATGGCAGATTAAAAACCGGTTTTTAGCAATTACCTTGAGTTCAAGCTCAAACAAACGTGAAGAAACATGGATAGTACCGAAGCTACAGGCTCTGATGAACTTGAAGTGAGTATTTTTACTTCTTTTAAAAGCTTGCCGAGGCCATGAGAAGTCCAGATCTCAGTCATCATTTGTCAAAAATATCCAATCTGTCCCCTAATTTGTTCTGAGCATATTCTAAATTTAACTGTCTAGTTTGTAAGACTTTACCCCAGATGCAAGTGCAAAAACTCCAAGATCTTCTTCCAAGACTCAATCTGAGCAACAGCATGAGCTTTGAGCTGCCCACCTCCTAAAACAGGAACCCCCAATACCGGGTCCAGGGCTGCAGAGAAAAAGGGGCTGTAAGGGGGATCTATTCTGTGGCCAGCATTAGGGTAGCTTAAAAGAGTGAAATTTGTCTTCCCATGCTCTGTGAGGTGATTCACAGCTATGTCAGCATACACAGAGCTCTTCCAATGCCTGTCATCCTCTCCAACGATAAAAAGGAAATGGGCACTGGCTTTTTCAAGGGGGATACGGCTTTCCCGATAGGCTGGATCCAAGGGGTCCTCCAGCGCTTCTTTAATATCATATGCCCTTGAATTGGTAGCAGAGATTTTGTCCAGGTTAAAAGGCAGTCCCGGCAGGATCAGTCCACCACATGTAAGGGAAGTAGCTGTGTTAGAGATGCAGCCATTGATGCTCACAACTGCAGCTATATTTGGGAGAAAGCTAGCCATGGAAAGGGCCAACTCTGCCCCTTTCCCAGAACCAATCACTCCAATGTTAGGACCTTTTACCTGAAGATTCAAGAAAAAGACAAAGAAGGAGAGAGAAAAAGAAAGCATGATTGGTATTTGTTACAGATATCTTCCAACCCACTAGTACCACTTTCTATATTCACTCTCTCCTAGCGCTAATGACTTTATTTTAAATACATTTCTCTCTGGCATCCCACTCACCTTTGGATGACTTTGCACAAATTTAGCTGCCTCTTCAAAGTAATCTAAATTTAAGTCCTTCATAATTGGAGGTAGATCTTCATAGCCAAAAAATGGCAAAGCCAGAGCAGCAAAACCTCGACAAGCCAGGAGACTCGCTCGAGATTCATTTAATCCTCCGTCTCCGAACATATCAATCAAACCAGGAAAAGGACCATCTCCTATAAACCAGGAAACAGGATTAATCTTGAATTAAGCGACAGAATATTTAATAAACTGTGATACCCAGCTAACATTTTCTAAGCCAAATTCTAATTGTATCATTTATCTTTTTTTAAAAACATCTGCCTATTTGCTTTGAAAGAAAACATCTGTTTTGGTTGAAATAGGATTATTGTTTCGGGTTGTATGGTTGTTGTTTTTTTTAATATTTTTGTTGACTTTAGAGAGAGAGAGGAAGGGAGAGGGAGAGATAGAAACATGGATGAGAGAGAAACATCAATCAACATCAATTGGCTGTCTCCTGCACACCCCCTACTGGGGATGGAGCTGGAAACCCAAGCATGTGCCCTGACCAGAGAACCAGCGACCTCTCAGGGCACGGGATGACTGTCAACCAACTGAGCCACGCTGGCCAGGGCTGTGTGGGTGAAACAAACTCTCTTTGGGCTATTTTGAAGCTGTAAGTGTAAAATGTTTTTATATTTTCCCCCACGAGAAAATTATTGGGAAATTGAAAAAATACAAAAATTAGCACCAAAGATATAGAAGTGTTTTGGTTTCAAGTGTAAGTTAAGTACCAATAAATTTAAGTAAACAGTTCTGCAGTCTTTGAGTTATGAAAGTATAATACCTCATTTTTAAAAAGATATGCATTTTAAAGGGTCGTTTGACTTTTCAGTGAACTTAAGATACAGAGTCAACAAATCCATAATTTAACAAGGTTTAAACTATTTTAAAGGTTTAATGAAGGTGTAATATAAAGTGAACAATATGTATAGTAAAATGTCAAACTAATATCCTCCTTATGTTGATCTGTTATCTGTTTCAACATTCCTAATGGAGATTGTGCTATTATTCACCATTCCAAGAGAAGAATTTCTCAACCAATTGCCTCTTAGTGTTTTTCAGAAATATGTTTCTGTGTTTTTCCAATTAAAAGTGCCAGGCAAATCTACAAAAATAAAAGGCAAGAACTTAAAGATAGAAACAAAATTAAGAGATCTGAAGTCCCAGGACCAGAGGCCAGTTCTAAGTTTTCAAATCTAGAGATGAATTAGGTCAGCAGTTCTCAACCTGTGGGTCGCAACCCCTTTGGAGGTCGAACGACCCTTTCACAGGGGTCGCCTAAGACCATCGGAAAACACATATATAATTACATACTGTTTTTGTGATTAATCACTATGCTTTAATTATGTACAATTTGTAACAATGAAATTGGGGGTCATCACAACATGAGGAACTGTATTAAAGGGTCGCGGCATTAGGAAGGTTGAGAACCACTGAATTAGGTCTATAAAAGTGAAAGCTAGGGTGTAGATATTAAGGCAGTGATTTTTATAAGGTGGTTTTCTTTAACATTCGGATATCTCAGTATATCTTGATCTGTTCTTTTTAAAATTAGATAAACTTTAATCATTTCTGGACTCAAGATTAATTTCAGAAGCCTAAAGCAAACCATGAAGAAGATATAACATACTGACCCTCAAATCAGTCTAGTAATAGAGTTTGCAACCACAGGCTTCAAAATATTAATCTGATTTACCACATTAAAAAAATATAAGTTGAAAATAAAAAAGTTTTTAAAAAGCAAAAACAAAACACAAAGAACTTAATTATTTTGTTTCAACTCAGTAATTTAATCCCTGATATGTAAATTTGCTAGGATATTATTGGCTATTTTATTTTATTATTTTGTTTTATTATTTTTTTATAATCCTCACCCCAGGATATTTTTCTATTTTTTTAAAATATATTTTATTGATTTTTCACAGAGAGGAAGGGAGAGGGATAGAGAGTTAGAAACATCGATGAGAGAGAAACATCAATCAGCTGCCTCCTGCACATCTCCTACTGGGGATGTGCCCACAACCAAGGCACATGCCCCTGACCGGAATCGAACCTGGGACCCTTGAGTCTGCAGGCCGACGCTCTATCCACTGAGCCAAACCGGTTTTGGCAGATATTTTTCTATTGATTTTTAAAATATATTTCTTTATTGATTTCAGAGAGGAAGGGAGAGAAAGAGATAGAAACATCAATGATGAGAGAGAATCACCGATCAGCTGCCTCCTGCACCCTCCCTCCACCTGCACTGGGGACCGAGCCTGCAACCCGAGCATGTGCCCTTAGGCCAGAATTGAACCCGGGACCCAGTGGTCCACAGGCTGACGCTCTATCCACTGAGACAAACCAGCTAGGGCTCCATTGATTTTTAGAGAGAGTGGAAGGAAGAGGAAAACAGAGAAACACCGATGTGAGAGGGACACACATTGATTGGTTGGCTCCTGCATGCCCCCAACCAGGGCCAGGAGCCTGCAACCTAGGTACGTGCCTTTGACTGGAATTGAACCCGGGACCCTTCAGTCTGGAGGCCAATGCTCTATCCACTGAGCCAAACCAGCTAGGGCTTTATTGGCTATTTTTTAAAAGCTGTCCTCCCCCCCCCCCCCCCCCACACACACATTCTTAGGCCTGGCAGGCATGGCTCAGTGGTTGAACATGGACCTATGAACCAGGAGGTCAAGGTTCAATTCCGTCATGGCACCTGCCCAGGTTGCGGGCTTGATCCCCAGTGAGGGATGTGCAGGAGGCAGCCAATCAATGATTCTCTCTCATCATTGATGTTTCTATCTCTCTCTCCCTCTCTCCCTCTTTCCCTTCCTCTCTGAAATCAATAAAAATATATTTTAAAAAAAGATTCTTAGTTGTCCCTAAGAATCCTGAGGGTGAGAGTAGGGGTTATGCTAAACTGAGTTAAAAAAAAAATAAAAACCTTAATATTTCACTCATTGTTTCACTTAGCCTGTATTTATGGAGAAGGTCATAGTTTGGAGCTCAAAGAGTTTTACTGCACCCTGATTTTACCATCACCTAGCTGTGTGATTTGGTTAAAATACTTTAGGCCTCAGTTTCCTCATGTATAATATAAAGTTGTTCTTTTATGTATGAAATGAGCAATGAAACAGTTTTCTCATTATGGTGAAGGTCTCCAAGGCATTAGAGAATGTCAGATAACAACAAAAAATGTTATCTTTGGCCCTGGCTGGGTAGCTCAGTTGGTTAGATTATCCTCCCAACAGGCCAAGGTTTCAGGTTGGATCCCCAGTCAGGGCATATATTAGAATCAACCAATGAATACATAAATTAAGTGGAACAACAAATAGATGTTTCTCTCTCTTCTTTCTCTCTCCCTTTCTCTCTCTCAAATAAATAAATTTAAAAAGAAAAGTCATCTTTACCCTACCATGAAGCCAGTATAAAAGAGTGAACGATATAATAGGACTTCAATCTGGCCTGTGTGGCTCCGTGTCTGAATGTCCGCCTATGAACCAGGTGGTCAAGGTTCGATTCCATGTCAGGGCACATGCCCAGGTTGAGGGCTCCATCCCCAGTAGGAGGCGTGCAGGAGGCAGCCGATCCAAGATTCTCTCTCATCATTGATGTTCCATTTCTCTCTCCCTCTCCCTTCTTCTCTAAAATCAATAAAAATATATTATATATGTCATATTATATATACATATATTATATATTATATATGTCATATTATATATACATTATATATAT